GTTGGTCTCTAGTTCAACTGTGACAAACACGTAATAATCAAGGGATTGCAATCTGGGGAGTTAGGTGGCCAGATGTAAGGGGTGATATGGTCGCAGAAATTGTCTGACTGGGTTCTCCTGCATGTGTGGCATAGTGCAAAGTCTTGTTGCCAGATATAGGTTCTTCCAACAGCCATCCTTTTGACCCAGCGCAGCACTATCTTCTCAAGGCACTTAATATAGGCCTCGGTGTCTGATGCCCTCACCAACAAATTCGGGAGTTCTTTTCTTATCAGAACGATCAGGATGAGTTTTTCGGGTTGCTATACCTTCGTAATCTCAATTAGACTCATCCAACTCCTTCCGAATTCTTTGCTTTGTCATCAGATTGACACCCAAACACCTTAAAATGTTCGTATTGGAGCTTCCGGCACGAATGCCAAGCAGTACAGTATGCCCTTTCCAAATTTCTGGCGGAGTGAATTGCATTATGTGCTCTTTTTTCTCACATGCGGTGCCCAATTAGCCCTACTATACTGTGCAGGCGACAAAAAAAAACCAAAAAAAAAAAAAAAAAACAACGCGCATGCGCGAAATAAAAAATAGCAATAATTTATTCATCGCACCCTGTAGATGACATGCATGGCTCCAGACTCGTTCAGAAATATCTAAACTGTGGGCTGCATATAACGGTATTCTCAGATCGATAATTAGAAATGGCTTCGAGTTAACAAAGACCATCGAATCTCAGCTGCAACAACTAAAATGGATAGCACATGGAACTCGAAGAGAGAATAATGACATCAACAAGATGATGAAGTTCCACACTACTTCAAAGAAAAGGTTTCGAAGCTAGGCCTATGAATACTGGAAACAGTGAACTAGAGAAACCAATTTTCTTGAAAAATTATTTTAGGAGAAAGATTTTATATGTTAGACATTTTTTGCACAGTATTTAGTATTGTTGTAGTTATTGCTAACATTTTTGTCGAGATTTACAATTTCGCAAACCAATCATTGAAATTTGAATAAGCTGATTAGTTCGGAAAAATACTTTGACAAAAACCCTACTTCGTGGTTTTTACGCTCGCTAGTAAGACTAACTTTGTACTCTCTTACCTGTTTGCACTTCACCCCAAAATTTGATTTCGATCAGTCAATGTATGGCTATTTTAGAAGGTTTGACGGACGGACTAACGGCAGTCACAGAATTTTATATATAGATTTCAACCGATAGCAGCACTAACTACTCGGTCAATGAATGATGAATGTTTCCTTATAAGGAAGCTGTTAATATTACCATTACCATTAGAACGCCTTGGCTTAGAGTAACGGCTATCAAATTAAGATAATTTTAAGTTATTTCTGTAAAGCATGGATCACCCAAGGTGAGTAGGATTGATGTTTATCGCAAAAATTCGTGTCGCAGACCAATTTACTGCTAAAATAAGTTAGATACTCACGATGTGGAATTTAGTACCTATAAACTATGGATCGTCTCTGTATTTTTTAAAACACTTTACCCCAAGAAAAGCAATAGGGTCACTAGTACGCAAGGAGTTACTGAGTGTGAGATAATATGAGAAGAAATCTTATTAAAGAGAGAGAACAATAAAAAAAACAGAAATGAAGAAGATAGAAGATAACAATTGACATTGCATTTAAATATTTGAAGATCAAAGTTGATTAAAACCAAAAAGCCAGAAGTGCGAGAAAAGAAACTGTTAACATAGAACTTACGGTTACATCTAGACATTTCAATTGTAAAAAGATGAGAGCTTGCCGCCAGTGGGGTACTGCGCTTAAATTTATAAAGTATAGCTACAAAAGCGGAAAACTCATCAGAACAATTATCATGAAAATATGTGTAGAAAAGGCACAGGGAAGCTACATTACGGCGGTTGAAAAGTGTCTGAAGGCGATATGCTCGGTTAGGACCAATAACATTCTAGATTCTTCTTTGGGTTTTATCAAGAGTATCTAAATATATAGCCTGTAGGTCATTACTTGCCAGTTTGATCGTATCGAACCGATCAGAGTTGATATTAAGACAGGAGTAAATACTTGTGTCATCAGCATAGAAAACAGAGTAAATAAATAATGATATCAGAAATCTTGTCGATGAAAATTAAGAAGCAACATAGGTTCAGGTTTAGGGTCATGGAAAACACCTGCATTAATTATCTATTACCGAGATGTATCTCTATTACCTGATATTGTCAGTGATCGGTATTAGAGCTTGTGTAAAACGATATTATTTCAAATGCTAATTTTCAAGGTACACAGGATGTACCCACTTGCAAGTGAGGTGCATTACAATATGCATACCCCATTTCCACCCAGTTACCCTTTTACCGGACTAAACCAAACATACTAATAATACATATATGTTCGTATTTGTCATAATTAGTTTTGTTATTTTTCTTGTGCTTGTTTTTAAAGGATTCTATACTGTCGGTGCTCTGTACCAAACAATGATAAAGGAATGATTTGTCACATAGTTTATACAGGTGAAGTAAACAAGTGTTTATTCTTATGTAAAACATGAGTTAGATGTAGAATATCTGTTGTCAAGCTTTATTTCATGTGACACTGCCATAAAAATGAGCAAACAAAGAAATCATAAAAAGTATTTTTTAATTAAATCAGTATACACAGCGATATAAATTTAACAGAACTAACAAAAATTACATGAAATCCTGCTATTAAATACACTTAAGGAAAATAAAATTATCACCCGCTGAATTTTTATTACGATGAACGTAAGTATTAATATAAAACTTCAAATATTATCAAGTAATGAAAATAGTGTAGGATTAAAATCCATTAAGTATTTTAAAAACTCTGTTTTTACCTATGGATAAAAAATACAACTATCTCATAGTGACATCGAAAGCCCAACGAAAGATTTCATAAAAACAATAGTCGAGAATTGCTTTGCACTAAAGACCTCCATGAACAAGTGGTTAAAGGAGGCCTGGTTAAAAGCTGGTTTTCCAAGAAGAGTAGAAACCGTTGCGACGTACAAGTCGATTTGGTATACAAGTCGGCCACAAGATTTTTAGCTCAAAATTCTGAGTTAGACCTATACCCTACCTCTACTATACGTCGACCCCAAAACATACGGTCGGCTAGCCGTGACCCAAAACTTAGGCCTACTAGTAAATGAGGTTAGTCTACAGTATACAATAAACAGTGTCAAATCTATATAAGGTCAAACCACTTACCTGTATATTGAAACACTAACTGTAATATCTTTCTATATGCATTGTATAGCAAACAACCTACTGGTAGTTAATGTATATTGTATCATCTGTTGGACACGATGTGTAGTGCAGCATTAATAGAATACTGAATTTGTGTTACTATTTTATTATTTTATATTAATTCCTGTGTCAAATATGTTCACCAAGCACAAGTTTTCGTGGGATATATTTATGGCAGATTACTGACGGTAGGTGGCGTAGAGATATGTGTTAAGAATGCTGTTTCACTTAATTAAAACTCGGTGGTAAAGGTTTACATTTCATACCAGCCATGTAAGTCGACTCATAGTTTTCGAAATATTTTCTTAGGCTTGAAAACTCGATATCTACACCGCAATTTATGGTAGGTTGACCTATCGCCTGGCCAGTAGGCTTTCCATGTTTATTGAACAGAAGGAGAGATGGATCCTTTGTTTCCTGGCTAGGATATGGGTTACCGGTTCCTTTCTTGCATGGCCATAATGATTTAATTGTCTTAACATTTTGGTGACTGGACATCAGTAGCAGTGGCTTTTCATTCTGAGGGTACTGTGTTGACAGCTTTCTAGTTGCTGCTAGTAGGAAGAATAACTATTTAAACGCGCTTACATAGGCTGCTCTTGTTAATAGTTGCATAATAGTATTCGTTGTGACAAATTACGCATGGATAGGTGTCCCTATATGTACTTCCGGTGTGTATATTAATGAAATTAAGAAAATTGGAGGCAAAAAAAGTATTCGTACAAAATTATACTACCTATTTAATACTTTGTATCATATCTCTTACTCAATTCAACAGCAATCAGTCTCTTTCTGTAGCTTTAAATCAGTGATTCGCAAGTTTTCGTTGATAATTTACTCCATTCTTCATTGCATATTCTCTTTAGGTCCAGGATGTTTTTCAGAGCTCTTTTATTAACTTGAATTTTTAATAAACGGCACAAATCCTGTATTAGATTAATGGCCATTCGAGTGTATTGACATTGTTTTCAATAAGCCATTGTTTCGTAGATTTAGCTGTATGTTTAGGGTCATTTTCTTGTTGCAAAATTATTGATTTGGGAGTCAAATCTTTACTATTGACTCAAACAAATTAGAGTCTATGAGTTTGAATTTTTGAATTATTGATCCTTTAGATTCCACGACTGTTGTTCATTGTTTCCAAAACCTCCTTTATAAAATACACGAAAGAAAAATGAAAATGTTTTCAGACAAATAGTGAATTTAGGGCCACCCAATGAAATTCATCGTAGTAATCGTGATTTTAAATGGTTTTGTTGTTGATATAATAAATTAACAGGTTTTAATTTTTCAAATCATTAGTGTTTTAGAAAAATATCTGATCGTCTTTTTCGTACTTTTCATAAGTTGCCAACAGTTTTATTAGAATGCATTTTTCAAGATATGGCTTTAACTAATTTACTAAATAATGTCACACTCACAAACACGGAATTACGAAATTTTGTCAGAACGTCAATGGATTACGTGATAAAAATTAGGATAGAATGATTGATTTATTCATTTTTTACGGTTTACCAACCATTTTCAGGTTACTTAAAGCCAGAAATATTTTTTAGATTAAAGTATTTTTTTGTTAGATAATAATGTTTCTAGTGGCCCAAGTCTTACTAATTAATCCATAGCTAAGGAGAGAAGAGGTGGATTAACACTTTTCTTAAGGTTATTTACACATAACGAACCCAACTGTACTTGGAGCTCAAACTCTCTGATTAACAATTCCGAGCCATTATCAAGTATATCACACGCACATCTAAGCTTACAGCACCTGGTATTCCCAAGCGGTTACCCATCTAGGTACTGACCAGGCTCGATGCTGCTTAACTTCGTTGATGGTACGGAAACCGATGTTTCAACATGATAATCCATAGATAAAATGGAGGAAAACTAGTGATGCTAAAAGAAATATGAACAGTGATTTTTTTGTTGTTTTTTTTTGTCTTTGTTTTTTTTTTTTTTTTTTTTTTTTTTTTTTTTTTGCTTTTTGGTTTTTTTTTTTTTTGTTAATGACATCACATTAACTTGTGAAATTTACTGGAGTTTGTTCATGAATCAAAGTTTAAATCTCTGTTATTAAATCAAATCAAGTTTATATTTTACTCCCCGCTTGTTTTCTTTTCCTTTTCTTTGCCTTTTTTAACCGAAAAATAAGTCTACTTCGAAGGCGTATCCACTTTCGCGTGTTGTTCAAGAAGAACGTTAAAATTAAAAGGTAAGTGAAATAATGCTGAATAAAATGGCGTGTGATATTTAGGAAATAGTGGTGAAACCACCTGGAGGTTCCGATGCTTATGTGACTAATGCAACAAGCAGGTGTAAGCCGATAAATTATACTACAGCGTCATCATCCAGGTGTTAACCTAACTATAAAACTATACGCTCCCTTTGTTAATATCACCTCACTAATGTTACGTGTTAACGAAACAAGAGTACGACAATAATTCCTTTTGAAATTTCCATAAAAACTGGACTAGTGGTCCATTTTCTCAGTGCTTAAATGTTATCTGGTTAAAGAGCGAAAAAGCATCGTTTGATGTATTGATTTCGACAGAATAAATTAGTGATTTCTGATACAAAGTTGAATTTCTAATGCAAAATATTTTTACCGATATCCACGAACATGTATGTAGTCATGCATATGTGCGTGTGTGTGCGTTCATATGCTTCCACATATTTCTATAGTTATTTAATAAACATAAAGAAGTTTGGCACAAGGCTATAATATAGGGGAACTCTTGAAGATCAAAGTGACATGTAACCAGCTTACTCTGCATCACTGTACAGTTCGGGCGCATCTATGTATATACAGAGTGCGACAGAAATACCTCCTAGAAATAACTCGCTCATAATGGTAACATATTGGTGGCAATAGTATCTTCATCTAGTTAATGTCTTACCATTATGTGGGAGGTATGTCTGGGAGGGTGGGTCTTATCATTTATTCCATTTTTGTCGCTTTCGTGGTATGATGAGCTTTTAATTTGCATTACATTTATTTGTTCAGAATAATCGTTTTATTATATTCTAACAACGTGCAATATTGACATAGTTGGCATATTTTTGTTTATCGATTCTTACTCTGGAAATGGGAAAAAGCATAATTTTCGACAAAGGCTCTTTTGTTTTAAAAGGTCTAGCACCATTTCTAAATTCTTTATTATGGGTGACATGACTTTCATTGTGAAAGCGTGTATATTAAAAATGGAATGCTAAGTACGATGGTATGAATGTTAATGAGCTGAGTTACGTATGAAAGAGAGAGAAGATATTAACTAAATTTCCCCTAAGGGAAACCTTCATGAGATTTGACGTTCTTTTGACCTTTCAGCCACGAAGAACCTACCGGCCAAAGCAAAGCCCGATTGGTGCTTTTGAACATAGACCTTTCCCGATTCTTGAAATATACATCACTGCTCAGTTTCATATCCTACCGTAAACAAAGACAACTTTTACGAATGGGCGATTTATTTATTAATCCGACATATTTTAATTCATTGCTTAATCCTTATATTTATGGATACACATATTTGAGTAAATGTTCTGTTTATTTATTAAACGGTATATTTATTTATTTCCATCTACTGGCCTTAATATTCGAGAAAACCTATTAGGAAAATATGCGTTCTCTAGCAGGATTCGAACGTCTGTTTGAACGTCTGTTCCCTTAAGCTCTGACGTTCTACGGCAGTATTGGAATCTAAAGGAAACCATCGCTTGGTCTGACGTGCTTTTGACCTTTCAGCCACGAAGAACCTACCAGCCAAAGCAAAGCCAGATTGATGCTTTTGAACACACACCTTTCCCGATAATCGAAATATACATCTCTACTCCGTTTCGTATCTTAACGTAAGCAAAGACAATTTTAGGAATGGATTTCCATTTATTAATCCTAGTTGGAATCTGGAGAACGCATATTTTACTAATAAGGCATCTACTGTAATATTGATTAAAATTAACATTTAAGCGGTAATTTTATATATATATATATATATATATATATATATATATATATATATATGTCTATATATCTATCTTTCTCTCTCTCTCTCTATATATATATATATATATATATATATATATATTATTTTTATTATTATTATTTTATATATCATATTTAGTAGATACACGCATTTGAGTAGACATAACTGTTTGTAGACAATATAAATCGATGTCTACTATTAGTGTCTTTAATTTTAATAAAGAAATCGGTAGGGTTCGAAGCTGCACCCACCTTGTAGCAAAATGATTACTCACTCACCGAAGACTTTCACAGTCAAAGGAAAATTCAGTTACCTTATTTAAAAAATGCGCATCACTTGTTCAGATCCCTACATTGATTATTTGATTTGTTTTTTCATGGCTTATCAACCTTTCGTAAGTAACTTCGAGCGGAAACATGTTTTGGTTTGTAGGAGGTTGCATACAGCACCTGGGTTCCAAAGCGGTCACCCACGTAAGTAATGACCAGGTCGATATTGCTTAACTTCGGTGATCGAATGATATATATATATATATATATATATATATATATATATATATATATATATATATATATATGTATATGTAGTGAAACAGCAAAAATTGTCCAATTGTTAAATTAAGATTTGAACCGTTGTATCTTAGAAATAATTCAAGATGTGTGTGTGTTTGTGTGTGTGTGTGTGTGAGAGCGAGAGAGAGAGAGAGAGAGATTATGAAAATGTATGACAAAATAGAAATGGCATTTAAAAGAAATCAATAAAACACAAACAGTAAAATGGAAATTAATAAAAAAAGAACCTATAGATCTTTAAATGACCCATGTCCTTTGTGCATGCATGAAAAGTTATATATTATTAAATTTCTGAAAAATAAAAATTTATTAAATTAATACCCGTTTTTTGCAGACATTGTCAAATATTTTCCTTAAATAGTAATTAATTTATAGATAAGAAACTAGTATATTTATAGTTGATCATAAATAAAATAATTTGATAAATACGAAATTAAATTCTAATACATTAATTTTTCCATATATACTCTGTTAGTTAATATAAAATGAAGTAAATACTTTATACTTTTATATTTGTAGGAATAAAAATATAAAAAATATAAACATTAAAAATATGACTTATTCATAATTAACCCTTTAAGAAAGTCTTGATATTTATAAAAATAAGAATCAAATAAAGAAATAAAAATGCCAAATATATTGTCACTTGAACCGAGATGATGTTTACAAAATAAGACAGTATCTTAAATAACCGGTGAAAAAAAAGGGAAGTAGATGTCAATGTCACCCCAATTCCTCACTTTAATTTGACCGAATTTACAATCACCATACATGGCGATATAAGAATTAGCTGAGAAAATGAAAATCTGGCCACCCCTAAATAATAAAATTTAAAATGTCTTTAACCTCATCAACAAAATATTAAGACTATCTAAGATAATATTACGTAAATCAATTTCTTGGAAAGTTATTTTTAAAATCGCTTAAGAATGGAACGAGAGTCTGCATTGTAGATTTAATTTTAAAATTAATCTAGATTTGAAGATTTCCGTTTTGAAACATAGGATGTTCTGCTTCGCGATGGAACATATTATTTTAAAAAATGCATTAAGCACTACGGATCGCATTGAGCACTGTTTTATAAAAAATAAGAATTCTGAATTATAAATTTCACTGTTTTTTGTATATATATATATATATATATATATATATATATATATATATATATATATATATATATATATATATTGCAGATTCTCTATTAGAATTTGTAATTGTCCTAGTTTACTACATGAGAAATTTCGGGATCATCCAAATGGCTGTTGTTATGAAAATATTAACGCCTCCAAAACAAAAGTATTTTCATTTAATTATCATCGAGAGTCTTTTCTGCCTTCCATCAGCATGGCTGATGCTAACCACCAGGAAAGCAACGCATTGCGCCTTTTGGGCTCGCGTTTTCCACTGGCATAAAGTGGAGTGATTATATCGAATCAATTGCTATGTCTGCTGCTAGGAAAGTTGGTTCACAATGTCATGGCAGAGAATTTTTCTTGTGAGTATCCATATTGTACATTTATAAATCTATCATTCATCCGTGCATGGAATATTGCTGCCATATCTGGTCTACTATATATATCGAGATGGGCACCTCGACGTGGTGTAATGGCTAGCAAGCTTGTCTTGCCAGAACAATTACTACTGAGTAGTGAGTTCGATCCTCACTGGATGCCCCATACTTTCAGCCTTATGCCACATCCAAACTACGCTTGGAAAATCTTTTGGGGCACCTTGAGGTGGTGTAATTGTTAGCAAGCTTGTTTCTCCAGAACAATTACGACTGAGTAGTGAGTTCGATCCTCACTGGGTGCCCCATACTTTCGACCTTGTGCCACATCTGAGCTACGCTTGGAAAATCACTATATATATCGAGATCCAAAAACGTTTTGTAATCGATTCTCACCTAGCACCTAGATTTCTGTCACTTTCCCATCGATGTTACATGGTTTCCTTCTGTCTTTTCTATAAATATTTTCATGGCAATTGTTCTGATGAGCTCCCCCTCCCCCTTGGTAGCTCGCCGGCATGAATTCATGGGTCCTATTATATTAGTAACAAGGTCACACCGTTTTACTGTTGAATTAGTTAGATGCAACCGTCAGTTCTATTTTAATAAATTCTTTTCTCGCACTTCTAGACTGTGGAATTCTCTTCCGTTTTCTTGCCTCCCTGCCACATACAATCTTCAAAAATTTAAATGCAATGTCAATCGTCATCTTCTGTCTTCCTGCATTTTGTTCTTTTATTATATCTTTTCACTAAAGTACTTCACTCCCAGTAACCCCCTTACGTCATAGTGGAATT